TCTGCGCATAAAATCTAGACTGACAAACTGCTTGTTAAATCATGCACCTGCTTTCAGGCGTAAAAACCCTGTTGTAGAGGTCTCAGTCCTCATTTGTTAGATTTACCTGTCTTTATAAATGTAACTTACTCTCTTGCTGCTGCTGCTGCTACAGTTTCAGAGCGCGAAGTACAAGAGTTGCGCGATCACATTTCCCTGATGAATGAGGAATGCACTCACGTTCGTGAGCAATGGCGACTAGCAGAAAGTAAAGAGCAACACTCAGGTGAAACGCTGACGAGAGCAATGGCTACGATTGGTGCTTTGCGATCGGAGAGGGATGCACTACTGTCGGCAGCGTATGAACGTCAAGAGATGATCCAGTCTTCGCGCTTTACAACCGAGTCAGACCACGATGCAAACAATGCGTCGAGCTCGCCGGAATTCTACCGAGAATCACACTCCGGCCCACCAACCATGCGACGGTCCACTGGAAGAAACTCTCCCCTGGCCAGTCTTACACGGCCATCGAGGAATCGATCTCTGCACCGCCACGCGTCCGGCGATGATGACCAGCCGGCGAGTGGTATGCCAGATGCAGCCAGTACGTCGGGCAGTGCAGGGGACGGTGGCACGCCCAAGAAGGCCAAGTCAGGGCCGTCCAGGGTGCTGGCGGAGCTCGTGCCATACTTCTCCAGCGGCCGTGCCAGTCTGCGCCGACGCACGGGCCGGGCCCCGCCGAAGAACACCGTGATGTCGCCGTCGGACGAGCAGATGAGACCGGGATCGCAGATGAGAATGTTTGCCCAGGAGCTCGGCTCACCGACCACCCCTATGCATGGCAGCGCTGTGAACTACTTGGACGATGCATCGAGCGTATTGACCGATGGCATGATAAGCAAGCGGTCGAGCATGGGCACGGATATGTTCGATGCCTCATCCCAGGGCGCAGCTTCTCGGCAGTCCAGGGACTATGATGAAATGATCAACCGCGAGATGGACCGACTACGTGGTGAGTGCAAGCACAAGGATGAGCTCTGCCTGGAAATGAGGAATCGCTTAGAGCAGTCACTTCGGGCAACGTCCAGTCTACGTGATGAATACGACAGGCTGCTGAGTGACGCTAGTGCAGCTATGAAGCAGATACGACAGCTGAAAGAAAAGGTACGGGGGCGAAAGGCAAGGAGCAATAGCTGAGAGCAAATCTTCGGAAACAGTAATGTTGGTTTCGTTTGTGAGAGTTACGTTAAGCCCCAGGGATGTTAGCAGCTTGACTTGACAGTTTACCTCTTGGAATAGAGCATCATTTTGCACTAGGTTGAACTTCACAATCCTCATTACATAGTACTAGAACTTACTTTGTAGATTTAATTGATAGAACAGATCATGCGGCTGATGGAACAAAATGGGTTGACGTACAGACTGTAAGGGATGTGTTTGTATCGAACCGTTACTTCTGGTGCTGGTACTAAATCACCCTACTGGGGCCCTGTGGTTTGTAGGTCTTCAACCGTGAAAGCCCCACTCCAGATGTTGGTCTGCCGAAAAAGGAGAGCCAGTTCACGGAAGTGCGCCTTCCAGCTGAACAGGGTAAGTTTATGTTGTGTTCTATGTACCATTGTCTTCATGCATGCTGTGTTGCACCTGCTGGGAGAGTGGACAGTGAGCCGGTGAAGGCTGCTGCTGGTCAAGTGATTTGTGCGACTTGCTGGTTGTGCTGCGCAGAACTGGGAGTGCTGCTGGAAACGAGAATGATGGTGTCCGAAGTGGTGGAGGGACTCGCTGCCCATAAGAATGGGGGTCTGGAGTGCGGGGATCATATCATGCAGGTAAGTCTGCTAGCTCTCAGTTTGTAAGTTGACTCTCTCTAGGTACCTGGCAGTGCGGAAAGAGCTCACGCTGACCATCAATCCTTGGCACAAAATTCATGCAATGCAGCAGAGACCCTACCGTAACATTCATGATTGTACGGTACATTGCACATTATCACTGGGTGGGGTCATGACTGTTGGTGTATTTTCATTGCAAACAATCAGGCATGTGAAGGTGAAGACGAGCAGTCGCAAATAGGTATTCCCAGTGACAGGCATCTCTGCACCATTTCTAGACCGGGTGTCTAAACCACACGCATCCTCCCTGTTTCATCCATTGAACTACCTTGCGCAGATCAATGGAATATCAATGGTGGACAAGACACCCTCCGCCACCATAACAGCCCTCGCGCTGGCCAAGGACGGCTGCACTAAGCTGACCGTCCTGAAGGCCGGCGAGGCGTTCGTGCCGTCAAAGTCGCTCAGCAACGGCCACCTGCCGGCGGCATCTCAGGGCGACTTGATGCCGGTGCGTGGACGCCCGCAGAGGAAGAGCAAGCGCTGGCGTATCCGACAGTCTGTTGCCGAGATCATCGCCGGACGAGACATGTCGGTGCCACCCGACGACGACGAGAAAACTAACTTGCGTCGCACCAGCAGCGACCATCGCTTAGACCAGGAGCCGCTCTCGGCACGCGAGAAGTTCAAACGCCGTCCGCGTAGAAAGACAACGGCCGGCGAGGACCCCGAGAGCATCGAAGCAATAACTCAACTCAGAAGAATGAAGCCTGCCAAGTCCACTCCGAACTTTGCTTTCATTGACCAGGATGATGGTACTGTGCCCGCTGAAGATGGCAACCAAGCTCCGGGAGTGCCCGCAGATGACGAGGTATTCCCCAATGCTGGCGGCAACCAGGGTCCGCAAGCTGGTGTGAGCCAGTCGCAAGTTGAAGGTACTTGATATGTGTGTGTGTGTGTGTGCTGTACGTGTTCGGTGAGTCCGCCATTGTTTGCTTCTTGGTCCGAATTTTAAGGCCCTTACCTCTTAGGAGAGCAGTACGCTCACGTGTGATATGATTGCAAGATCTGTTTGGTAAGCCACTGATACCTGCTGTGGTATCACCAGATGAAATTGACACACCGAACTACATAGCCCTCCAGCGGGACTGCATGGTGTCGGAAGGCACAAGCTAAGCATATTACGTTCAGTGTTTGAAATGAGTAGTATCCAATGGATGGGGAATGCACATGTACATGTACATGTACATTGTGTACATTGTGTACATGTACATTATTGTCTGTGTTTCCTTTGTACATGCAATATGTTGCCTTGTCCCGGCTGTCCTAGCAGATGCATCGTGGCTGCTGGAGCAGAATATCGAGACCGGTGGTGGTGGCGTTGTATCTAACTCGCAAGAACACCCTCCTCCTCCTTCGTACAGCAGAGCCATGGTTGAGCGGCCTTTGCCATCGGCCACTGATGTGTAAGTCTTCACTCAACCTTGCTGTGCTTTATGCATGGTTGCCTGCAGATAGCAGAGGTGCGCACAGGTATGTACAGACCTGAATGTAAAGAATGGAAAATACAGCAGGGGGGGGGGGGGGGAGGGGGGAGGAGGAGGAGGAGCAACCAAACGTCCCACGCCCTCACAAACCGTTTTTAGAACTTTCTACAGTAGGCAACTCACTATATTTATAGTTGGATAACAGACAGGTATCATTCATATTCTTTGTAACTGGAGATGGTGGTACTGTATATGCTAAACGCATGCATGCGTCGGCACGTCAGGCGAAATTACTGGTCAGTCGGCGACACGCATTTTTCACAAAAAAATTGCGTTTCACCTGCTGGGGGAGTATGCGTGTACTCGAGTCTCATCCTGAGCATGTTTTTTTCTTCTTTTTTCAGCTCCAGTATAGCTGTATTTTTCATTGCAAAGCCGTCCTCGATTGTTGTGTTCGTTGTTCAAACGAAGTGGACATTCAATCACGAAGGCAGAGGACATAGGAGCCTGATTGGAGTTTCTCGTGGCATAGGACGACCACACAGAGACACTTTGGGATTTTCTGAATATAAAATACCGTACGCACGATGCTGAGATCAATTTGTGCGATATCAATTTTTTTGTGATCTACCACATCGAGCAGAACGGGATCCAAACACAAGCTTACCGACGGTTAGGCTGGACAAATGATCCCTGGCTTCACCAGATACCAGAAGTCGGACACCATGTCCTTTGCCGCGACGTCCATCTCCAAAAAGAACTCCATCTTCGTCGTGAAAAGGCTTGAAATACTCAATATTCAACCGAGATTCGCGGTCTCACCCTTTCTCAGATCGAATCATTTTTTGTTGTAGCAGTTGCAAGGCAGATCCCCGCCACTACTTCAACAGGCGATGGCTCCAAAGCATGCCTGGAACAAGCCATATCGAGGTTGCAAGCCACCCCTCTCAGCAAAAAATTCGAAGAAATTCGAAATTTCAATGGTGGAAGATATACTATGAAGAGAATTTCAAAAAGTATGTTTCGCGGAGCGATCGCTCAACCTACGTCATTCAAACTTTGCAGGATGGTTCAGACGTACATGCTAGGCATGGAACCACAGGCGATGATGCCATAGCTGACACACAGAGTAACACACACAGCAGATTCGTGTGCACAGATACTAAATTAGTGGACGTCGTCATCTTCTTCCCGCTGATCTCGAATGTACTATGACGTGCTATTTCGCCTGACGAACAGTGATCTCCACGAATACTGTAGATTGTATGAGTTGCGTGCTGTAGAAACGTGCAGGTATGAAAAGCTCAAAATGGTTGGGCACTGGGCAGTGTTGCCAAGTGCTTTCCAGGTCCTTGTGTGCAGGCAAGTGCCGTTCTCAGGAATTTTTCGTGGATCTGTGCATTCGACCTGTTGGACCAATTGTTCATTGTCGTCAAAGTACGGACCAATATTGGCGGTTGGCAACCCTGGTTGAGGTGCCCCAGTAGCTGCTATCACAATATTTAATATTGTATTGTATGGCACATGCCTATGCCTATGCATGTGCCTATGCCTATGCATGCTGTGTGCTGTAACACATATAGGTCGCAGACATCCAGCTCAGATGGAGTGCGCCATGTCACCGTACATCCACCGCCGGAGGGCAGCGAAGAGGCGGCGCAGGGTCCGGGACTGCGACTGAAAGGCGGCTGCCTTGTGGGCATCT